CTTCAACCAACTCTCCTTTCCCTCCCTCCATGCCCTAGTTTCTGAAAACCAACATTATACCCACCAGTACTATAAGTAATTTTTGACATTCCATGTGTAAGTGAGAATTTTGATATTTACCTTTTTTTGCCCCAGCTTGTTTGACTCAATATAACGTCCTCTAGTTTTATCCATGTGGTTGCAAATGACAGAATTTTCTTCTTTTTTAAAGGCTGGATAGTATATGGATTTTTTTTCAAAAAAATCATCCATCTTTTTTGTTAAGATTCATTTATTTATTTGAAATTAAGAATTACAGAGAGGCAGAGGCAGAGAGAGAGAAAGAGGTCTTTCATCCGCTGGCTCACTCCCCAGATTGCTGCCAACAGCTTAAGTTAGGCTGACCTGAAGCTAGGAGCCAGGAGCTTCTTCTGGGTCTCCCACGTGGGTGTAGGGGTCCAAGTACTTGAGCCATGTTCTACTGCTTTCCCAGGCTATAACAAAGAGCTGAATTGGAAGTGGAGCAGCTGGAACTCGAACTGGCACCCATATGGGATGCCAGCGCTTCAGGCCAGGACTTTAACCCACTGCGCCACAGAACTGTCCAGCTTTTAAACACACTTGTATATTTGTTCCAAGCTGACTGCCATTGAGCTTCTTTCTGTATATATTCATATGTAAGATTTAAAGATATCAGTAAATTATTAAAAGAATCTTAAAATTGAAAACAATAATTTAGTTATGAACTACACATTGAGAAGTCCTTTGACAGACTCATCCTAATGCAAACAAAAATGTATTATTCATTAAAATATTGTTTTCTATTAATTATGTAGGAATTAATAATTTGGTTTAGTACCATAGCATTCATCTTAAAAATGCTTTTGAAGTATTAATATCATATTTCTCATAGTTAAAATGTGGTCATTCTCCACTTGAATTCATAATATATTATTTATATTATTTTATAATTTATTATCACTTTAGACCCCAAAACAATAGTGTTTAGAAAGATCTATGAAGGCTAATTTTCAAGCTGTTTTTCAGCAGTTGATTTTGTTTTAAATAAAATTTTAACAGTCTTGTTTGACAAGGACTGGAGTTTCAAACAACAGATCTGTGAATACTTAATTATGAGATTGTGATGGGCACTGAATGAGTGCAATTAGGTACCAATTCTTCTTTTCTAGTGTAAATTTCTCTGCCTTATAAGGCAAACCACCAAGTCAATGTAGTATAGCTTTCCTCTGTTTGAACATTCTCCCTACTGTAATGTGAACATTAGTTTTCACTCCCTCAACCTCTAATTTCTTCTCTTTTCCCACTTGACATTATCTGAAACTGATTCCTGTTACAGAAATATTTTCTCCTTTCAGGTCAAAATCCATGGATCTTTTATGACAAACATGCTTTGTTTTTGGTTTTTGTTTTTTTAAGATTTATTTAATGATTTGATTGTTAGAATTACAGAGAAAGATGGAAAGACAGAGATGTCTTCCATCAGCTGATTCACTCTCCAGATGTCCACAACAGCCAAGGCTGGGTCAGTCTGAAACCAGGAGCTGGGAGCTTCATCCAAGTCTCCCACATGAATTGCAGGGGCCCAAACACTTGAGCCACCTTCTGCAGTTTTTCCCAGACTATTGGCAGGGAGCCAAATTGAAATTGGAGCAGCTAGAACACAAACAAGCATCCATATGAAATACTGACATAGCAGGCAGCAGCTTTGCCTGCTACACCACAATGCTGGCCCCAACATACTTGCTTCTAAATTCACCCCTTCTATCCAATATTATTCCAAAATATCTTATCAAAACACAAACTTTCAACATTAATGTCTATTTATTAAAATCACAAAAAATTTAATTTTATTACAGGCATAAAAGAAGCAAAAATGTTTTAAAAATACAAAACTTTCGTATTTAGAATTTTTGATATAGATTCATCCATATGTGTTTATAATCATATTGTTCTATTTTTTAAAAGAATTTGCCATGCATACAGAGTGAGTGTTCATTACATTTCAATGCATGGAGAATATTCATGCCAGTAGGTATGTCTTTGCATTTGTATTAAAATTTAATTATTTAATATTTTGTGTAGTATTTTCTAATATAATTACATGTGCAAATATGAAATGCAATAATAAAACAAGTCAAAAGCTTCTTCCAAGAACTAAATATCAGAACAGTGTCAAACTTACTGAAGATGGTTTTGAATTTATTCTCACTTGTATAAGAAAGTAAACATTGTCCTAAATTATACATTTGTCATTCTCAAATTTCTAAATTTGGTGTTTATATACTTTATTTGAAAGGCATAGAGGCAGATGAGAGATACACACAGTAAGGGAAGAAGAGAGAATGAAAGAGATCCCATGCCCCTTGGTTTAATTTCAAAATACCTGGGATAGCCAGGTATGTGACAGGATAAAATCAGGAGCCAAGAAGTCTCTTTGAGTTATCCGCATGGGTGGAAGGGATCCAGTGACTTGCGCCATCACCTGCTGCCTTCCAGGATGCACATTAGCAAGAACCAGGAAATGAGAGCAGAACCATGTCTCAAACTCAAGCATTTTAACATGAGATGCAGATATCCCAGGTGGCAGCTTATTAGTTCGTACAAGTGCTCATCCTTATTACTCTCAATTTTTTATGCATATGTTTAACAAATATTTAATTGACTACATAATACAGTCCTGAATAGAGTCCTCATTTCCACTTTAATGTAGTTTTTCTTTGAAAATATTAAAACACAATTGGGTCATCACTGTGGCGTAGTGGGTAAAGCCACCGACTGATTTGCTGGCACCCCATATGGGTGCCGGTTCAAGTCCCTGCTGCTACATTTCTGATCAAGCTTTCTGCTGTGGCTGACAAAGCAGTAGAAGATGGCCCAAGTCGTTGGGCCCTAGCACCCGCATGGGAGACCCAGAAGAAGCTCCTGGCTCCTGGCTTCAGACTGGTGCAGCTCCGCCCATTGTGGCCAATTGGGGAGTAAATCAGCATATGGCAGATGCCCCCTCTTTCTCTCTGTGCCTCTCCTTCTCTCTCTGTGTAAACTCATTCAAATAAATAAATAAATCTTTAAAAAACCCACATAATTACTAATGATAGGTTGATTATTAGATTGTTCACACTAAGTTTTTGAAATTTCGTATACATTTTACCTTTAGAGGAAGAATATCTTGGTCAAGCTAGCCGCAGTAAGCACTTAAGGCTGATGTTTAAAATTTTTGCCCACCTAGCTCTCAATTATGCAGTTCTTCCTCAGTATCTTTGGGAGACTGGTTTCACAACCTCTAGAGATACCAAAAATTTGCAAATGCTTATGTCCTTTATGTAAAATGGTGTAGTGTTTGCATGGAACCTATTTACATTATTTTATATACTCTAAATCATCTCTAGAATAATAATGGTATCCAATATAGTACAAAGCTTATGCAAACAGTTGTACTTTATTACTTAGAGAATGATGACAAAAAGAAATCTGTACATGTGTAGTAGAAATGCATCTTTTTTCAAAGTGTTTTTGATACATAAATGATGAGATGCACAGCTGAGGAACTTATACAGAGAGCTCACCGTTATTGTAAAAGAAAAATGACTGGGACGAAGGCTATGTGCACATTGAACTTTATTTTTTTCTGCAGTGGTTGTACACTGTCTCTTCAAAAGTGGAGAAATATAACTATGATTCAATGTCCTCATTTACAACTGCTCTTGAATAACAAATTAAATTTGCCAGTGAGATTTCCCAGTTTGTTTACCACTGTTGTGTTTCTTCTTTTGAAGCCTTCATTTATGTAATATCCTCAGTTTCTTATTGTGTTTTTCACATTATGTTACTGATTGACAGTTGTTCTTTAAATGCAGATACTTATTCCTTGACTTGAGAATATTTTTCCCACTTTGTGTTTCAATTCAGCTTATTTATGATACTTCATGAATAGTAGTTCTGAATTTTTTGTACTAAAATTAATCTTTGCATTTGTTTAGTAATTTGCATTGATTAGTACTTGCATTTAAGTTTAAGAAACATTTCCTTGGGACCATCAGTGAGGTACAGTGGATTAAGCTGCAGCTTGTGACACCAGCGTCCTCTATCAGATTCCCTGTTTGAGATCTGCCTGCCCTGTTTTTAATCCAGCTTCCTGCCACTGTGTATGGAAGACAGAGGGGATGGCCAAAGTACTTGGGTCCCTGCCACCTGTGTGGGAGACCTGGAAAGAGTTCCTGGCTGCTAACTTGTCCAAGCCTGGCCACTGAGGCCATTTGGGGAGTGAGACTGAAGATCTCTCTCTCTCTCCCTCCCTCTCTCTCCTTTCCCTCACTCTTTTAAATAAATAAATAATAAATGAATACCTTAAAAATGATAAACATTTCTTTAATCTTGATGTGATGAATTCTAAATTTTGTAAACTGATGTTTCACAGTAAGTATTGATTTGGGTTTTCTTATGACATATTGTCATTTAGAGATATTAATTTTTAGATGGATCACCTACTCTTACAATTTTTGAATGGCACATATTCTCTTAAGGAATTGTAATTGTAGCTGCAAGTTGCAAGTTTTTTAAAAAAATTCTTTTTTATTTTTATTTTTTATTTAATTATTTTTTGACAGGCAGAGTGGACAGTGAGAGAGAGAGAGAGACAGAGAGAAAGGTCTTCCTTTGCCGTTGGTTCACCCTCCAATGGCCGCCATGGCGGCGCATCGCGCTGATCCAAAGCCAGGAGCCAGGTGCTTCTTCTGGTCTCCCATGGGGTGCAGGGCCCAAGCACTTGGGCCATCCTCCACTGCACTCCCAGGCCACAGCAGAGAGCTGGCCTGGAAGAGGGGCAACCAGGACAGAATCCGGCGCCCCGACCAGGACTAGAACCGGTGTGCTGGCGCTGCAAGGCGGAGGATTAGCCTATTGAGCCACGGCGCTGGCCAAAAAAATTGTTTTTCATATTCATGATTATTGCTAAATAATATTTTTCAACTGAGATATGTAATGTATTGGCTTATATGTTTCAGAATATTTTTTATTAGAGCATCATTTTGAATCATCTTCTTGGTAATGTACCTGTGGAAGATAGCAGAGGATGGCCAAGTACCTGGACCACTGCCACCCTCTTGGGAGACCTGGATAGAGTTCCTGGCTTCTGGATTTGGCTTACTCTAGCCCTGCCTATTGTCTTTCAAATAAATGAATTTTTAAAAAGTAAAATTTTGCCTGAAATATAATTATCCTACTCCTTTGTTTGCCTTTTGACTTTTTTATGCTTATTCATTTTTTCCTATATCAGTCTTCTTAAGAATTATTTCTTCTATCAAAATTTTCAAAGAATTCATTGCATTGCTTTAAATTTTACTTTAACTTACTTTTCTGCTTCAAATATTCCTTATTTTAGTTTTGTAAACAGCAGTTTTTGACTTTCCTATTTTCTTTGTTCACTTCTTAACACATTTTGCTTAGCATGTTATTTTCACTTTAGTCATTTTCTTTATAAAATGTGATCACTGAGGACATGGATCTTACTTTGAAAATTACCACAGATGTAGTCAGAAGATTAAACAGCATTTTCACTAATTTTTTAAAAGTGAAAAATGCATTTAATTTCTTATTTGGGCACAAGAAATTTTGTTCATACTGGATTTTTTATATTTAAAATGTATTTTTAACATGTTTAAAATTTGTATAAGGTGAATGGCTACAATGTTTTTAAATTACTGTAAAGGGAAGTGAGCCTTCTTTGGACCCAAGCTTCTCCAGAACATGGTAAAAGTCATTATTTATTCAGATAAGTCGTCAATTTTTAAGAAATTGCCAACAGTGGTACAGCACTTTACGTTCATGGAATGGGCATACTCCTGAGATGTAAGGGTTCTTTCTACCATTTAGCAGAATAGGAAGTAAGGACTCTGAGAAGTGACATGAATTACTGCATATGATATCTTATTGTGTCTGTTATACTGAGGTCCGTATTAAGATTTCACTGATTTTAAACTCCAGTGTCCTTGCTCCGGTCAGCACTCATTCTGTAATTAATTCAGCAAACTCAACAGTCTCTTATGAAATAATGTCATCCATTTCAGAACAGCTTTATTTAAGTTTTGAATTCTTAATATTATATATGATCAATTCTTAAATTAAAAGATATGTTTTAAAATGCATTCATTCATATTTGTGGCTCACATTGATGTTGTGATGAGTATTTTTTTTTCTTCTTGTTAGAATCAATCTGTGCATAGACATTCTTCTAAAGTGAAATGGCATGAGTTACCTTTAGAGCTAACATACAAACTGACAAGTTAGAAACTCTAGTTGTTCAACAGATAAGCACTATAATTCTCAACTAACTTTGAGAGAAAAGAAATTTGCATGGTCATTTTTCTCCTCTTGTGCTTTGTAATTGATTCAGGGCCTCTTATTTTGCTTTTTAAATTTATTAATATATCACTTCTTGGCCTTAGAGTAAGATCAAGCGTAAATTTATTAATGTAAGAGAACAAGTAGCAAGGATTCATTGTACCATCCCACACTCACAAGGACCTTCTATTACGTGCCTCTGATTTTCTAGCAGAAACACAGATCATTTTTAATTGCATATTTTTGTATAAGAAAGTAAAATTAATATTAAGTGGAAAAACATATATGTATATACACACACAACTTTTGTAAATGCTTGAATTCGTACATCTATGTCCATCTATATGTATATGACATGCTTGGAGTTTTGCTTTTTAATTTGTATTTACCCTATTTATTTAAAAGGGGAAAAGAGAGTGAGTGAGCAAAAGAAAGGGGGGAGAAAGAGAGAGAGAGAGAGAGAGAGAGATTTCAGTCACTGGTTCACTACCCAAATACCCACAATGGCTGCAGCTGGGTCAAGATGAATCTAGGAGCCATAAACACAGACTGGTCTCTCATGTAAGTGACAGGTACCAGACCACATGAGACATGACCTACTTACTGCCTCCCAGGATGTGACACTAGCAGGTTGCTACAATTAGTAATGAAGCCAGAATTAGAAACCAAGAGTTCTAACATGGCATGTGAGTGTCCCAAAAGGTTTTCCAGCTAGCATGCCAATCATCTGATCCCACAAAGATTCTAATGTATATGTGTAGCTACATAGGTAGGATATATATGAATAGCAATTATCGCTAAGTGAATCATCTCTTCATACACCTGGGTGAGACTGCTAATACGCTTTGAGCTTCCCAGTTAGGTCATTTATCCTCTAGGTCTTTTCCAGTGTAAATGTTTATTTGACCACTTCTGCTATTTCCTCAGCTTTGTATTACTGCTTTCATCATGCATCTCTAGTAACAAGCACTAAACCCTAACTTTGGACACCCTAACAAAAGCAGGAAGAGTAATTAACAAAACACCATACATTCACATCATCAGAGACAATGGACTAGAATAGATCAACCTCACAAAGCTAGGAAGGCTATGGATAACCCTGGTTTTGTAACATAGAATCTATCTCAAATTAATGTACCCAGCCATTTTTAGACATTTGTACTCAGTTCAAGATTCAAATTCTAGGGAGGGAGATTCTAGTTGATTTAATTTGAGTCACCTGTCTATATCTTGAGTAGGCATGTGATGCACCAAAATATACATGGATGCAGCATTCTAAATTACTTGGGTAACACATGATCTCCAGGAGGAAATAAATAACTGATAGGAATGGAAAATAAATTATTAGAAGGGATTTCTACTAATTGTTTTTGTGAGGTTATTAAGTTCAATAATATTTTATTTTATTTTTGCCATTAATCCCAGGTTCCTAGCACAATGCAGTAGCATAGTGGAGGCTTAATATATGTTTGCTGATTCATAGTGCTGGGGTAATTGACACATTTTGAAACAAAATTATGAACATGAAAACATCCATTTACTCTAATTATTTTTCATCCTCCTCTTAATCCTAAAAAGTGTATCCTAAAATGTAACTACAATCAGTTAATCAGAATATTAGGTTTAGAATATGCACAACTCCAAGCAGATGCCATAGTGAAAAAGATAAAATGTCTCCCATGTAGGAGCCCCCAGTCAAGTAGGATAGTGAGATGTGTAAGCCAACTATGTTATCGTAGAGGCTAGAAACAGGATTGTTACTTCTCACAACATCAGCTAAATAAATCTAAATTGAAAATTGCCTATGGGGCCAGCGCTGTGGTGTAGCGGGTAAAGTTGCTGCTGGGACTGGCTTGTGGAATGTATTTCATGACTAACTAAGGAGTTGGCACATAGGAAGAAAATGTAGTGTTGTTAACATTTGATTTTAGGGAGAATATGTTTGCTTTATGACCTATTTTCTGCATTTAAATGAAATATGACTGTATGTTTCCAATAAGAGGAAATGGAAAAGTTCTATGAATTCTGTAACTCACAAAATTATTGGCAGTGTCTCCTTTTCTTGTAGGTTTTGCTAATAATTTTCACTTTTTTTTTTTTTTTTTGACAGGCAGAGTGGACAGTGAGAGAGAGAGAGACAGAGAGAAAGGTCTTCCTTTTGCCATTGGATCACCCTCCAATGGCCACCGCGGCCAGTGCGCTACGGCCGGTGCACCGCGCTGATCCGATGGCAGGAGCCAGGCACTTATCCTAGTCTCCCATGGGGTTCAGGGCCCAAGCACTTCGGCCATCCTCCACTGCACTCCCTGGCCACAGCAGAGAGCTGGCCTGGAAGAGGGGCAACCGGGACAGAATCCGGCACCCCGTCCGGGACTAGAACCGGTGTGCCAGCGCCGCAAGGCGGAGGATTAGCCTAGTGAGCCGTGGCGCCGGCCCACTTCTTTTATTTTCAAGTCAACCACTTTCCTCTTTTCACTGCCAATTGTTCCTCTTTTCACACATTACTAATTTCCACAAACTCAGTGGGAGTCAGTTCACTAACCCATACAAAGTGTAAGCTTGCTCTCTCGCTCTCTCCAAATAAAAGCTTGCAGCTCCTATGTCTATCTGCTTTTAATACTGGTCACATTCTGAATTCAGAGGTTTCAAAAAAATACCTTCAAGAGCCAGTAAGTAATCCAAGGGAGCTAAGTGAGCCAAGTGGCAAAGTTCAGTTTTATGGCCTCTGGATCAGAATAGTGTCACTGAAGGAGATTTTAAAAAGCTCTTGAGGAAGTATTCTTGACACTTCCTACATAAAAATTTTCACAGATTTAAACTTCAAAATACATTACCTTGAGGTGGTATTAATACATAGATAAAATAAAGAGCTGCTATAAATCAATATTCTCAAATGTATATGAGCTGAAGAATTAACCAGTGATTGTTTTGTTTTGATTTATTTATTCATTAGTCCACTAATGTATTTGTTGGGAGACAGAGAGAGAGAGAGAGAAACAGAGAGAGAGCGAGATAGAGAGACACTCTCACATGCTGGTTCATTTCCCAAAAGCCCAAAATACCTGAGGCAAGGCTAGGCCAGAGCCAGGAACCAGAAACTCTACCCTAATCTCCCATGTAGGGTTTAGGAACTCAGTTCTTTGAGCCGTTACCGCCTCATAGCATCTGTGTCAGTAGCAGGCTGGTGTGAGGAATCAGCTGAGTATAGAAACCAAGTACTCTGAAAGGGAACATGAATGTCTTAACCTGTACCTTCAATTGCTATGCTGTACACTCACCACCATATGTCTTTTTATTTTGATTAGTGAATATTCCCAATCACTGGCAAGGAATTGTAAATATGAAGAATAATTACGTGATTCTCAGAATTTTTTTTATTTATAACAAAAATTATGCCTTCTCCATTCCACAAACTTACCTGGTGATTAAGAAGTAGGAGGTCAGAACTGCACTCAGAAACAATGAAGGCCGGCACCGCGGCTCACTAGGCTAATCCTCTGCCTGTGGTGCCGGCACACAGGGTTCTGGTCCCGGTCAGGGTGCTGGATTCTGTCCCGATTGCTCCTCTTCCAGTACAGCTTTCTGCTGTGGCCCGGGAGTGCACTGGAGGATGGCCCAGGTCCTTAGGCCCTGCACCTGCATAGGAGACGAGGAGGAAACATCTGGCCACTGGCTTTGGATAGGTGCAACACGTTGCACACAAAGCGCTGACCATAGCGACCACTTGTGGAGTGAACCAATGGAAAAAGGAAGACCTTTCGCTCTGTCTCTCTCTCACTGTCTATCTCTGCCTGTCAAAAAAAAAAAGAAAAAAATAAAAAAAAAAGTAGGAGGCTTACAAACAGAAGAGGATACCAAAAAATGGAAAAATCTCCCATGCTCATGGATTGGAATAATCAATATCATCAAAATGTCCATTATCCCA